TCACTGACGAGCCCCAGTAGGGCGAAACGCGTCTTGCGCTTTTCCGTACTAGGCTCTGCTATGTAGTTTGTGAACTATTGGGATGAAAGCCTTATCAGAATATCAACTAAATCCTGCTACTTCCGAGTTATATAAAATAAAAATAGCTTCTCCTATTTTCAAATGCTATGGATATAGCCTCTAGGGAGAGGACGTTATCACCTAGCAGGCTAACCACCATCAGTGATAGTGAAAGATAGGTGGTGCTATCTCCCAGTTAGTTTGCAAATTATGTAGCCCAGTCAACGTACCCCTTGGCTCAGTGGCTTAAGCTGCTGACCAGTTGGCATCTGCCTCTAGCGGTCATGGGTTCGATCTTCCTTAGAGGACCGAGGGAATGCGCGCCACTGACGAGCCCCAATAGGGCCAAAGGCGTCTAGCGCTTTTCCGGACCAGGCTCTGCTATGTAGCTTGTGAAATTTTGGGCAGAAAGCCTTTTCAGACGTACAATCAAAATCCTGCTACTTGTGAGTAATATAAAACCACAAGCTGTTTTCAGTATTTGCCTGAGTGAATTGTCATGCTTTGTTTTAGTAGCCGTTATAAATTGATCCATTGAATATTGCTGCTCCATTCGTGTGGACTTTACTTATACCGACAACACTGCTGCGTCTAAATTCCCTAGCTGCATCCGATACGGTTCCCGAGGAGGTTGGGAGTGTGACGAATTCCATCGACATAGGACCCAGTGCATCAGGTGAGCACGTTGTATAAGCTGTTTAGACATTCAGAGATCTTGTTTACAAATTAACAACGCAGCTTTATTTTTTCCTCCATTTGTGTCACTCATGGCGCCTTGGGCACTCATGGCTCGGTGGTATAAGCCACTTATTCATTAGATTTTTGTCACGGGTATGATTCCTACAGGATCTGGCCGCTGGGCGTTACTGACCAGTCCGTAGTTGACGAAAACGTCGCGCACGACTTTACGTGATGTGTGATGGATGTCATTCTGAGTCAACTGGCGTCGATCTTAGAACACACTAATATCCGCTGTACTCAATAATAATAGTAGTGGCCTTAGGTGTCTACATGCCACCTCTTGTTTAATTGCTTGCAAGCAATAGTGACTGCTATTCGCGTTCATAATATGCATGCCAGTTTATTGTGAGATAAGTTGTATCGAAGTTGTGTATCAAATTGCCTGAGAATCGCAATTAAGCTGGTTTCCATGATGTAGTTAACTGGGAAGTATTTGTATGTTCACAATATCCAATCCCACAATTGGGATTGTCTCCGTAATTTCACGATCCTCTAACAGTTAACACATCCGTTTCCTGCTTTCCTGATTGTAGAGCGACTGCGTGGCCCAGTGTAGCTTCGATGAATCTTTTAAGAAACAAATTATATCTGACTATTATCTCCTAGGTTCTACTTCGAATTATAGTCTTATAAATATATATTAATTATGCGAATGCCGCGCCGAGACCTTGTTGATGTTTCCCTTGAACCAAACTACTAAGTGAGAAATTACATAATGACTCATATTTCAAATGCATACTATAATACTACAATATTACCACTACATATTCATAGTATCTCATAAAGAATGTTTGGCCTCTATTCGATACCCGCGGAGCATTTCCACTCAGTGGCATGCACGGCATTAACTTATTAATGGACTTGGATTATATAATATACTTAACCAAAATACATTATTCCTAAAATCATTCTTCTTCCCAACTATTCGAACGCGCCCTACATCTGCTTTCTCTTTCTGAACTGAACAGTTTACAGTTAGCTTCGCATGCATTTCCAAATTGCGTGACACTTGGAATCATTAGCGAAAGCCATTATTATCTAGAAACTTACTGCTTTGATCATTGGCGACTTTAGTATTGCTTAGGAAAACTTCCAACAGATCGATTGGTCAAAGCAGAAAGAAGGCACAGATCGCAACCTGTGCCTTTTTTCTGCTTTGATCAAGTGGCTGAAGGGGACCAAATGTTTTACGTTTCTGAAAAGAAGATCGATTTGTATTCATATTGCAAATAGTTTGCAGTACATGAAGTCATACCTTTTGCATTTCCTAGTTTCTAATTCACAGGTAAATGTCTGCGAGTGTGAAACGAACCCTTTCAGGTTTCGTGTTCATTACATTGGGCGTTCTCAAAAACTCCTTCTTTGTACCGGAGGTCTTCTTCCTCAACCTTCTCCGGAATGCACTTTAGACCAGCTGCTTGATCCACGCCGATGACCTTAAGATATGTCTAATGGAATCCATGCTGTAGGGTGTAGAGATTACAAGGGCATCTAGCCAGCTATATGAATATTTTACCAAATGCAAATGCTATTAAAACGGGAGAGGTGCGCTGTTCCGTAAGGTGCATACCACGTTGCTGAATTTCTTCTCTAGAATGCCGCACACGAGAAAAATCCAGCGGTTCTCATGTTTTCTACACTTAAAACATCGCAGGGCTGTATAAAGAAGGTGGCCACTAGGAGCAGATTGTTAGGTGCCTTAAGATGAATTTGCTTGAATAATTTTTGAGGTATATCTACCACCCTTCATTACATACCTCCATCCATTAATACGTGGCCTACTAGCTATTAGGCAGCTTGCAAATTCTGAACGCGTTCAACTCGAACAGGCTCAGAGTGTGGCTACGAAATATGTTCTTAAGCTTCATAATATCACTTAGTAAATTCGTATCATGCAGCTAACCGTTCTCCTTTGAAGTCCGCTGTTGCCGGGGCGATATCATCTAGACTATATGCATCCTCCGAAGTGAAATCGGAAGTGATTTACAGCAGCGCTTTCAATCCAACGACTATCCGACCTCATGAAACTACATACGGGAGTAAAAAAAATAATGCACCAATTTCTCGTGGATAAAACCGTCTAAAATAGAGTACTAACTGACTGGAACAGCCAACCTGAGAAAAATATGGACGCGCTATCAGAAGAAATTTCAAACGGTCGTTAGACATACATTTGCAAACAAATTTGGAATGTCTCTGCTGTCACTGCAACTGCTACGAACCGCCGAAAAACGACGTAACCTAGTAACATGCATAAAACGTTTAATTAATCGGAAATGACGATGACGTTTTTTCTATCCTGCTTTTTTCAGCTCATTGAACTCAATGCACACAGCGGCCTACCTTCAAGTTAAGCATTTCTCGCATAGACGTTCACTCTTCTTGCTTATTAACTATTTTTACTAGTTATAGCAAACTCAGTGTAAACTACATACTAACTAAATGTGCGCCGCACAACCTTGCGAAGCTTCGCCACGGATACTGATGTGATGATATCCGACGAAGCGCAGGAGACTGAAAGGCCGCCACGTGTACGGATGTTGTCACAGTCGATCGCTAAGTCATTAAAAAAGTAATCGACAGAAAGTTGCGCGAAGCGTGTGGAGTTGCAAAGACCAATGTAAAGAATTGGAACCTGTTTCCAGAAAATGACGGTATTATGTGGTATCTTTGCATGCAAAAATTGCAAGATAAGCGCTATAGTACTGATGCGCCAACTTTCAAACGCCTAAAAATGGCATCGCGCAATTCTGGCAAATTCAAATACATGTGAAAATTCGATTTTTTCAGTTCGAAACAGCAAAAGTTAAAACCAATATTTTGTGGATATTTTACGGATACTTACTTCAGACAACATTTCATCGATCGTGAAAAACTGTTTGGTTTTTCGCCTGGTAGGAAGTAATACGTAGCATGCGTCCCGTAGCTCTGTTAGTTCATGAAACCTTTAAATTCTCGCGATGTAATCTTGCCCTAGGCAATGGCAGAAGACTGCATCTTATTCAAAGTTGCACATGAAATATGTGGTAACTGGGTAAATCATTTACTACTATAAATTGAGCAGACATATCTGAGGCTTATTATCTACTTGCAATGAACCATATGAAAGCATAATAATATTCATCTTCTGCTAATTTGTCGTCAGCTTTTAGCCCTAGCAGTAGTCAGCATGTTGTGTGGAACTACTGCAATGACAAGAAATTTCTTACTATGACGGCTCTCTTCCCACCGCAGAGAGGGTGAGTCCCGCTATATCCCAGTTAGTTTACAATACTGGCTGGTCGGTTAGCTTCTCTCAAGTCTCAGTGGCATAACCTGTTGGTTGGGTTGCAAGATATCAGTGGTCATGTGTACGATAACCAGTATTATACCGAGGGAATATGTGCCATCGGAAACTCACAGTAGGGCGAAACAATCATCTAGTGAAGTTTCGATTAGTCGCTTGCCCTTGCCCGGGACAACCTAATTGAAATCTACAACTAAACTGATGTCTATAGATGTTCTTTGACTCCTGGATATAAGATTATTCGTATAACAACTACGTACATAACGGCACTTGGATGCTATATATGAAAATCATGCGTGGCGAATATAACCTATTACAGCTGCACACCAGATTTGGGCCATGTACTGCTGCTTTTGTTCCTAAACCTTTTACTCTCATGGGAAGGACACACGTGGTTACATTTGAACAATATCTTGCAACAGTCTGTGATACTAAAGGATAACGAATATGTAAATGCATCTATCTGCACTTAAAAGTAAGTTTCAGCAATCACGATCACTTTTACAAAAAATTAAAAAATAACTTGATCGGAACACAAGCGACATGTTGTTCGTGCTTGTGCTCATCGTAACTTCACTGACTCACTTGGGACCTTCACATAATCAAAAATGTTAAGTACATTTTAACTTTATATCATATGGTGACCATTTTTCGGTAAAATATGGCATGCAAAATATATTCGGCTAACTGGATTAACCCTTGTTTGCTCATTTTAAACCAAGCGCACTCTCAGCTTATGGTACACAGGTACATCGCTATTCATAGCACGTCAAGGAGACACAAATATGGAACTAAGCAATTAATTCAATTGATTTCGGTCTTGTAGTACACTTCTTATATCAAGCAGCAAGCTTAATATTTTATTCAGGGTTGGCGGTCCACCTATATACAATAATCTGAGATAGACAAATAGAAAAAGAAAAATACCTTAATTCCCTAAAATTAAGGCTTCGTAACCCGTTTTCGTTCCTCACATTTACCAATGTTAGTTTGCTTGCCTGCATATTTGATTTCATATAAAAAGAATGGAAAGCTGACAAAATAATTGTGTACAGTACAGTGTAGATGTACAGAGTGCAAATGTGTTGAAGATGTCCGATGTATGAGAACGTAAATTTTCACCTTCACAGTCTAAGACGACAACTACTCAACGTTCAACGTTTAGCCATTTTCAAAACTCATAATTATTTCCACACATGTCTCAAGTACTCTATATTGTCACCTGTTTCACCTTAATTTCCAGCGTGTTCAAAACTTACTGCTGGTCCAGCAATGATGATCTACATTCCGCTTATATTGGTGATCAACCTTGTTTCGTTTGGATAAAGTTAAACAATGAATATCATTCGCGAAATTCAATTTGTGTTACATAAATTGGGGTTAAGTTAATAAAACGTTTTCTTTCGGGCGTTGTTGCTCATTTATCGCTTGATGTTATTGCATTGCTTTGAGAATATTACCCGTTCACTAATTATCAACTTATGTGTAAGGTATGTGAGAAATGAAGGAATGTTTATTCCTCAATCCATGACCAGTAATTCGCGCCGGATTTTGCAAATTAAAACACTATTTCACCTACTGATATTAAGCATTGCTTAATTAACGCGTTCTACAATTGCGATAGTTTAGAATTTAAAATACACTGCAGCACTGGTAAGCCACTCACTTTTCCAAATTATTTTATTTCGCACAAGCACTATAGCAAGTAGTTTGTTAATTTCAGTAATTTGTATGGCGTGAACTTAAACACTTTGTCAAGCAAACGTCTTCCTGATGCTTCGGCAATACTTATACTTATTAGTCCACACAACGAAAAAACTAAGTGTAACTATATGTGTCTAACGTCCCCTTAAAATTCCTCATTTCACAAAACAGGTTGGCGCAACTGCGCGATACAACTATATTTATAGCGTTTCATAGCAACGCTTGTGCAAACAAAAATATGGCAGGTAAAGAAATGGTAACAACACCAAAAAATAATACAATTTTTCCTAAATACGTGTTAAACCCGTGTTTTTAATCAACTACTTCGAAGGTATTTGGCAATGCTTGTAATGCCATAATGCATGCTCGAACCAAAACAAAAATTACACTATTCAAACCTCATCAACGTCATCACATAAGAATCAACCGTAGCAAAAACAAATCCACTTGAATACGAATTATGTTTCGCAAAATATTTCTTATTCTGTTACTTAAAAATGTAATATATCCCACTGTTTATCATTTCCTAAAGTTTGGACAACATAAAGGCATGTTTGAAAAAGCTCAATTTACGTGTAAAATGTTTGTGACTAGTAGTTGTTACTGCTTCCAGCTGAATTACACATTTGAGGATATTTAATTCATGCGGACACCATCCACTTTGACATAATGACAGTCTTCGCCGTTTCACACTCCAAAATTTACCCAACCTCTGCTAAATTTCTTTCAATTTAAGACCCTTTGTTGCGGTGCTTTTGATTGCGCAATTCATCAGCAATACATCTTGACACTGCAGTGACGCCCGTTCTGTCACTGGTTTCCCGATGGATTTCATTCACTAACACTCCTGCTTACAGAGTCCATAGAAATATCCGTTTTGTTTGGGTCCCGAACCGGTACTCACTAACCTCTATTAATACCAACTTTCCATGAACCCGTCTCAAGCTGTCCCCGGAGTGCTTCTTCTCCATATTCTTACAGTGCATTACTGCCTAATGTCAACAATGCCTGGCAACATGCTTTTCAAGCCGGGTCTACATTTTTGTGCTGGTGGCTTCTAGAACAATGACTTCCTGTCACCTCCATCTAAACGTAACTGCCGTCTAATTGTTGCCGTATTTGCTATAAGCTCCAGAACATATCTGCTCTCTTCCGCTGCTCTTAATCTAAGTTATGGGACATTGCTACTTGTACTGCTATTGTGTACCGGCTTTTCGTAATTTGCTACACGAATGCATCATAGCCACCAACCCTCAAGCAGCGCAGTATCAGTTTTAAACATGTTAGTCGTGCAACCACCATGATTTGAAATGTAGATACATAGCGCAACCTTTTTTAGAACAAACAAACTATCTATGTTGAGTGTCAGTATACGCACAAGTTCGCGAATCATTTTGGCCCGATTAATATTTTGAGGAGGGCTGCTCTACATCTTTCCATACTTCGAGGGCTGCATTAAGAAGTGCTTAAAATTTCCTGCAAAGTACTAGGTCAATGAAATGATGAATTTATGTTTCGCATTTCGAAAGTTAACTTCGCTGAGGTACTGGTGCATTTTATTACTTGCTTTGTCGTTTTGAACAGCATGTTTGAAGGTTTATACAGCCATTTATAAAATATATGCACATTTTTTATTTATATGTGTATAAAATATATGGAACCTAAGAAATAAGATATCTGAAAAGCACGGTTAGAAGACGAAAACTGGTATATGCATGCATTTCGTATTATCTCCTCCGTACCATTAACAATTACTGCTGTGCATATCAAATGTTGTCTTTCACTTTTAGAACACTCCAAATCGTCAAATCGATGGAGTGGCAATGGGTAGTCCACTAGGCCTTGTACTTGCCGATTTCTTAATGCTGATGATAGAAAAAGGCATATCCACAGAAATAGACCAATTGCCATACTATAAGCGTTATGTTGATGACAAATTTGCCTTTTGTTCATCAGAGCAGCAGATTGTCCAGTTGTTGCAGAAACTCAACTGCGCACATACCAACTTGCGGGTCACCTGCGAAGTAGAACAGAAGAATTGTCTGCCATTCTTAGACATCCTCATCAGTCGCAGATATGACGGGCTCATTAGAAGATCTATCTACAGAAAAGCAACCTGGTCCGGCCAATACCTGCACTTCACCAGCTTCACACCAGTGGGGTACAAGCGGACCCTTGTGAAAACTTTAGTTAGTCGTGCTAGACGAATTTGCTCCGCTGATTGTCTAGCCGACGAGCTAGAGTTAACTACAACAATACTCGTTGCAAATGGTTATCCACGTAGATTTATAGAGAGACATAGCCAACAGCGAGGCCCGAAAGACGGTGCATACGGCAGCCAAGAAAATGATCTATATCGACTTGCCATTCAAGGGTGACTTTACTGTATTGAAAACCACAAAACGTTTAATCTCTGCTACGCCGAGAAGTTACTGTGCTGCTCATGTTTTGGTCATCAATAGAACCTGTAACTTGCTAGTACCTCCAACGAAGGAAGCTCAACCGATAGGGGCCAACCCACACTGTATATGCAAATTCGTATGCGACTGCGGAGACAGTTACATAGGCAGAACCAATCGGCCTTTGACTTCCCGAATAAAGGAACAGGTGCCAAGGTGGGTTCAACGTGAAGTTGATAATCATCCCTATCCTACTGAAGTTCCGTGCTTGCGCAAGCCGCCAGCTTCCTCAATATGTAAACACCTACTGACTACGCGTCACCGGAGAGAGCTCGGATCACCGTTCACACTTGTATTACGTCACCCTAATCCCCACTTCCTCCGTTTCGCCGAGCCGTTGCAATGAGCCGGATGAAGCCGGCCCTGTGTGTTCAAAAACAATTATTTATCAGCTTAAGACTGCCGTGGACATAGGTGCGGAACTTCCGTCATTCATTTTTCACCTCATGCTTATTCGGTCACATACATATTTACGTATATAGTTGCATACCGGTTATTGTTAATGGTACTGAGGAGACAAGACGAAATGCATGCACCTACCAGTTTTCCTCTTATTACCGTGCTTTTCAAATTTCTGAAGGGACTTAACTGTTTTAAATTAAGATATAGCTTTCTGTGTTCTGTTCATCAGATATGTCTTTGTTTGCACATAGTAACAGAAAAAGTAATAAAAATTTTCTTCTTTCGAACATATACGGATGCCTCCGCTGTTTGCAATAATCACGCTTCTGTAGAATCGTACACGAAATGAGATTACTCAATTATTTAGGCTCTATATGTGGCGAGAGAGCCTAGGGTGCGCTGAGGCTAGTAGTGGCTAGATCCTGACAGATGGTCTACACACTGCTGCTACTGTTGTGCCATTGGCTCATGTCCTCGGCGCCTCCTCGTGGCGACCACTGGGTGGGAGTTGGGTTACGCCCTTCTCCTGCCAAGATCCAGGACACCAATCCGCATGAGTCAGTGAACTGACCATGTGCTATACCCGCCGCCTTTTTGGTGTTCATTTAATTGAAGGCTTTGGCTGAGGACCCGAGTCGTTCAACTGTCAGATGTGGGCGCCCTAACAGTATCGGAGTCCATCCTCTTCGGAGGTTAGGAAGTGGTCGATGGCCCTATTCCTGTAAAACCTAGCCATGGAAGATAGCAGGTCTACGGGTTATAAGCTCACAGCTCGATTGGCGTAGAGCGCGAGCGCCACGCATTTTCTCTGACAGTGGGAGAGCATCTCCGGGTGTTCAATGGTTTGCTACTGCCCGCCTCAAGCCAGGCAGCCCCTGGTCAAATTGGTGCAAACCCGCCAAATCCCACATACGTCTGGCCGTAGTCGCAGGTGTATCCTACTATGGTCGCAAAATATATATGAATCATTCCAGCACCTCCAAGGCTGCGTGTGTCGGTCGTCAAGCAGATCCCCATCTCTCTCTGCAATCACATTCCCGAGTTGGATCTGCTTCCCACTGCCTTGTTTGTCAGGCTATTGAGCCAAAGGCTCCAAACGGAGTCCCTCAATCAAACCTCCGAAGCACAACGACCACCACGCGTGCGACTGGCCACCAATGCAATCGTCTGCCTGCGCGCAAATCACTCAGCATCGGGTGCTGGAACGTGCACACACTACTATACCAGAATTCCAGCGAGCGCCCTGAGCGACGCACTGCACTGGTGGCAATGGAACTGGCGGCGCTTTGTGAAACTCGGCTCGCTGAGCAAGGTAAATTGCATGAAGCATGTGCTGGCTACACATTCAACTGGGTGGGCAACGCCGCCACATCACCACTTGAGCATGTGGTCAGGTTTGCAATATACGATCGCCTCCACGGTCAGCTGGTGGGTGAACCAACAGGCATCATCGCGCGACTGATGACTGTTCGCCTACGACACGGAAGATGTATCTTTCCACCTTTGTAAGCACATACGCTCCGACCATGTGTTATCCTGATGACACGCGTGATCGATTCTACACTGAGCTATCCTCCTTGATACGGTCTGTGCCGAGGAGCGACCGACTATTTCTGCTGGTTGATTTCAACGCGCGCGCTGTGCGTGATGCATTGGTGTGGACAGATGTTATCGGTGGGCATGGCATTGTTTCAGCGAAAGTGAACGTTGACAGGCTGCTCTCACTCGGTGCCACTCAAGGCCTGACGATCACGAACACAC